GGGGGGACCTTCCCTTCCCACCCTTCCTCCGGGCCGACGACCGACCTCTCCCCATCCTGTCGCACCACCGCCGCCGCCGCCGCTGCGGCAGTGCTCGGCGGCGTTGTGTCCGCTTTAATGATTTAATGGCATGCCTAAGGCTAAATAAAGAGCAAATAGCGGGGAGACTGCTTTTATTCTTACTAGCGAACAGGGAGAGTGTCGCTCAGAGAAGTGCTTATTTATGATGCGTATCGTTCATTAGAACACCTGGTGAATGAACTAATAAGGCAAAGAGGAGCTGTAAAAGTCTGTTAAGAGAAGTGTTGACTAGAGAGCATCCAAAAGTAACAGTAAGTTGAAGAGCTCTAAATGTTAAGTGTTACATAAAAACGCTCGGTGGACCAAAGATCAGATAAATATTTATGATCGATCCGCAGAGGAATGTAACTTATTTGAGCTCCTTTTAGGTGAGGTGGCAAATATTTCGTTTAAAGACACGGAGGTATAAATTAAGGACAAATGCCAGCAAAGATGTGTCACCACAGCGTGCAAAATTATCGGCGAAATACAAATACTTCAGATAATGAAAGAAATGAATGGAGAAATGTGAATTCGTCAGCTCTGTGTCAATCTTCACATGAATTTACTGTCGTGTGGGAAACCGGCATTTAGAAGAGGATAGAGCAGCCCTTCCCCACGGTCTCTTCAGAAAGAAACTCTTGTTCACATCTCTAGTTTCAAATTTTTGCAGGACAAAAACTACAAAGACAACCGGAACCAGAAGCGTTTTGTATTGCAAGAACGTAAAGGGAGAAGGTTATTGAGTCAGTACTGCACCACAAAGCGATATAACATAAACCATAAAAGATTAATGCAGGGTATGCCTGTCACTGAATCCTTAAAGGAAGCACTAAAGCCAGGACTAAGCCAGGATTGGGAGGTCCTAGCAGAAAATGAAGACTTGTAGCCAAAATGAATCCTCCTGTCAAACTGATTTTTTTTTATTGCTGCTTTGTTTCCTGGTTTTTTCCCTCTTATTTTTGCTAAAATATTGATTATTCTCTCATGTTAACTATTTTAAATTATGTATAATAAGCTCAATGAACTGTGATTTGAGGTATGTTTTTGAACATTTTTTCATATTTGGTGATTTTTATCACATTGGAGAAAGTATGGAGCTGAGGAAATGCATAATGAATATCCAATGCTGCAGGGGACAGGTTTTCAGTGCGTAGACAATGCAACAATGTAGGGGAAGGAGGACGAACTCTCATGAGAGGCTGCTCTATACTCTGAAATCTTCTCAGACCAGATCAGGTGCTCAAACGTGTGTTCTAGGTTTGTTTTAACTAAGAATACAGTTTGCTTTATGATTGTTTACCTTCCTTCACCCAGCTCTTATCCTAACTTTTCATTTCACTTGTTTATCACAAAAAATTTGCTCACAAGATGCTTACAGATGCTGAGCACTGATGACTACATCTTCGAGTCACTCTGCAGCTATTTCCATAATTATTTTTCTTCAGAAATATCTATGATATGATTCTTGATGCTCATGTAGGGTTTGGATTTAAAACCCAAACCATAACAGCTTTTCTGATCTATTAGTCCTATCAGAAAAACATATATATCCTCTTCTGCCCACCCCTGATTATGTCCCAGTTGTTAACAATTTTGAAAATCAGTGCCTCTTAACAAGTCTCCCTATATAACAAATCCAATATTCTTTGTACTAGCAGGAACGAGGGCAACATGCATTTTAATTCAGCATACTTCTATGGAAATAGTTTTACTCCTTTTATAACCCTGTGTGCTGAGTGCTGAGTCCCTGTGCTGATAATTTTCCACATTACCCAAAACAAACCCCCAGCCACTCTGATGACTTAGCATTACTGATTGAGATGTTATAGATTTTAAGTGACCTGTACCTTACTGGAAAATTCACCGCAAGTCAGTGGTGATCCTGGGATGCTGAAAGAAGGGGGCATTGTCCATCAGATATGACTCGGTAAGCAAGGAGCTTGAAAGTTACTGTCTACTCTAGAAACCACAAAAAGTTAGATATGTAACTGAAAAAAATATCTACACACTTTTCTTGTAAAATGGGAAAAATTCTCTCCTTTAATTGATCCATTAATAGTCAGAGAGTTGCTATCATTCTCAAACTCTGGCCCGAATAACAGAAACAGATGTAGTGTGTAACAGACTAATGCTGTCTCTGTCAACTTACTGACATTGCAGCTGTCTGATCTTCTTGTTAAACCTTAAAATTACAGTAATGTCTGTGGATCAGGACCTCATTACCTCAAAGCACAGGGCAGTTCCTGTCCTTCTGAGCTCACAGTTTGCATTCCTGACAGACCAGGCCACAGCAGTGTAATATATATATGTGGAGATGGGGCCAACTTGCAAGGGAATGGACGGAGTTTGGACAATATATTACCTTGACACTTGCTCAATCAGTGGTAGAGAGGAAGGCACTATGGGCACCGCTGATGAATTAATACAAAAAGGAAGTATTTAAGCAAAGCTAGCTGAAGACTGGTTATTTTGCTACTAGAAGAATATAGTAGTTTTAAGATGAAAGCAGAGCAAAATGTGATTGAATGTGGCATCGCTGGAAGGGTGAAGGAGACCTCTGATGTTTCAATGCATTATGAGATTATACAGGCAGGGAACATTGGACTGTGACAGAGTTTATGTTCAAAGAGTTTATGTCTGAGTCAGTTGTGAAGCTGAAGGAGGCCAAACAAAAAGTATTAGATGAATTGGTCAGTACTGTTTTGAGTGGTTTGCAATGAAACCAGAAAGGAGGAGACTGCTAAAGTCAAAGTCAAAGCTAATGTAGACTGGAGGAAGCAGTGCCTTGATGGTTGAAACAGCTGGGAAAGCCTTTGGTATGTTGGAGATAGGTGAAGTGTACGGAGGACAAGGTTACCTCACTTTGACTTCTGCAGGTCTCATGTGCGGAAAGAATTGACTGACTCCATCAGTTAAGAAAAATAAAATGGATACTAGAAATGGGCTCATATTATCTAACTGCTGGCTCTTATCCAAGTATCAGGTTATCATGGAGACACTCTGAGTCCTGCAGAGTTGTGAGCACCTGTAGTGGACTCTGCAGTCCACTTGAAATCTGTCCCCTGGTGGACTGTTTAAGGAGCTTGGGGATACTGACTTCTAACTCAGATAACTTCAGTACTGTGGGATGAACCTTGGCTCTAGAATTAGCAGTTTATGAATAAACACTAAAAAAAAAATCCAGTAAAATATATATCTAGAGTATGTGGGCAAACACAACTGGATATATTTGGGTGCAGTGATTAGAATTTGAGTCTGTAAGAATTCTCTGCAACCTTTTTTTCCCCAAATACTTTACCTGTATAGACAGTATAAGAATTAACTTTATTCCTTATGTTGATGATATATGTGAGTACCCT